ATGAGGAATTCACAGCTGTTCCCCTACTGCATCCAGGTACAAACCAACAGCAGCCCTAGCATGGACCAATCTGGCTCAGCCTCCCTGTCATTTAGAAGCACACATCCCTCTGTAGCACTCCCATACTACTCAGGATGGCAAATGCACTGAAGGAAAATAACCCCAAACCTCTGACAGAATGCAAGAGGTACTTTTTAAGTAAGCTTCCCTGCCATGGCAAAATGCAAGCAGAGAGCAGCTTTGCACCAAGAAGCATGTGAGCTCTCAGTACTGGGCCTAGGCACACAGAAGGATTTACAAGCCCTCTGTGAAGCAGCGTGGGCCTCAAAACAACAACCCAGCGCTGCAGAGGTGAGGGGCGTCTCACTGCTTGCCCACCAGGATACAGGCCCTTAAGGGGAACGTGGGATTTGTACTGGGGGTGAGCAGTCTGTGGAGCAGGGCAGGCCAAAGCAGCAACCACTGGTCCATACACCAGGTGGCACAGGCAAACTGGACATTGCTCAGTAACTGAGGAGCTAGTTAGGAGGAGATAATTAACAAGAGGGAGGGGATTGATTGCTTCATATAATGCTGCATTCTGTGTAAAGTAGTTTTCTTACTACTGTTATTTCTGGGACAAAAACAAGACATAGAGATCATAGAATTGCTCAAGTTGGAAAAGGTCTTAGAGATCATCAAGTCCAACCACAACCTAACCATACCACCCTAACAACCCACTGCTAAATCATGTCCCTAAGCACCACATCCAAACAGTTTTTAAACACATTCAGGGGTGGTGACTCAACAAGCATTTATGAGCAGCTACGTTTCATTGATGCATGTGCCACACAACACAGAGCAGAAACCAGACACTGGGCAATACAGGCCATGGACAATTTCTGTACATCAGTCACATCCTTTGAGATTTTTTTCTTACGGAGAAAAAGAAAAAGGCAGAGCACAGAAACAACCGTAACTTGAAGAAGATCTCCTTGAGAGCAGCCCTGAGGAGAAGGACTTGGGGGTCCTGGTGGACAAGAAGCTGGACATGAGCCAGCAGTGTGTGCTTGCAGCCCAGAAGGCCAACTGTGTTCTGGGCTGCATTAAAGGGGTGGCCAGCAGGGAGAGGGAGGTGATTGTACCCCTCTACTCGGCTCTTGTGAGGCCCCATCTGCAGCACTGCGTCCGGCCTGGGGCCCCCAGTACAGGAAGGATGTGGAGCTCTTGGAGCGGGTCCAGAGGAGAGCACTAAGATGATCAGGGAGCTGGAGCACCTCTCCTATGAGGAAAGGTTGAGGGAACTGGGATTGTTTAGTTTGGAGAAGAGAAGGCTCCTCATGCTGGCCTTCCAGTACTTGAAGGGAGCATATAAACAGGAAGAGGAATGATAGTTTACAAGAGTGGATAGTGACAGGACAAGAGGGAATGGTTTTAAGCTAAGACAGGGGAGGTTCAGGTTAGATATTAGGAGGTGGTGACGCACTGGAGTAGATTGCCCAAGGAGGTTGTGGATGCCCCATCCCTGGAGGCATTCAAGGCCAGGCTGGATGTGGCTCTGGGCAGCCTGGTCTGCTGGTTGGTGACCCTGCACATAGCAGGGGGGTTGAAACTAGATGATCACTGTGGTCCTTTTCAACCCAGGCCATTCTATGAGTCTATAATTCTATGATAGCCTACCAGTCAGAGGATATCTAGGACACACTGGGTCTAACATCTTAATTTTCTACCTCCCATTTGAATTCCCAAGTCACCGATTCAGGGGTATTCTAGGCTAAGCTTCATACATCTCCCTTCTTGGAATGGCTTCATTTTGTGTACACAATCAGATATTTATTGGAGAGGGAATCTCACTCATAATCTTCTAGCTCCCATAAAAGTATAAAGTCAGTCTTTTTCTCCATGATTTAAAATATATTCATTTTTATGAACAAGAACAGCTTCTATGTGGAGAAGAGAAAGGCCCATGAGATTGAAGGGTCTCTTCAGTGAACTACCTTTCTCACCCATCCCACAGGGATGCTGATGAAGCTGAGTACACTCCAGGATAGGAGAAGCACCTTAACCAGAAACTCAGTGTTGTTACAGTCAATGCATCCCACGGAAAACTCTGGCTTACAACAAACTGACATTCGCCAATGAAAAACTGTTTAGTCAGATTCTTTTTCTGACCATCATTCCTCTTGACTCTGTTGTACAGCTATTTCTCCCTGTTATTTAGCAAGCACCAATCTGCTGGAGTGCATTGAATGCTCTATGCCTTATATCATACCCCAAAGGTCCAAAGTAATACGCCAAAGAAATAACACTCTAGCTGTGTTTCTGAGTTTCAGCTTAGTTATAACACCATGGGCAATAAGAAAACTCGAGGTTCCAGTTACTAATAGAAATTTTATTATCCTCTGAAAGAGGAATTTTTAATCATTCACTTGTAATATTTTCCTTTTTAAAACAAATATTCACGTTTCTAGGAATTGCTAACTACTGTGCTTATGAAATGGAGCCCATTTGTGCTGTGTCTAGGGACGGGTATGAAAACATGATGCACAAACCAGGAAAAAATATTGGCTGGGAAGCCTGTGTTCCTAAAGACAACCAAGGATAACATTTAACCAGAAACTGGTTTTGACATTCAGCTGTCAGTAGCTCCCTTAAGCACTGGAGCCTCTCAGTCTGCAAATAAAATCCTGATTCATAAAAATGCATCCACTGAAGAGGTATATGAATCCACCAAGTATTTTCAGAAAATTTAATGAGAAAATGATCTTTCAAAAACTGACTTCCAAAACTCCAAAGCCTGATTTTATACATGCAAACTGATATACACACATGTATATATCTAATGCATGATTTTATAGGTTTCATTTCAATTTCAGTATAAAATCTACTCCTTATTAGGAGAGAAGGATTAACATCTATACGGTAGCCAGGTGGTTACAGAACTCGCCTTATGAAACACGATAGGTTAAATCCCATTTATCCTAATTGCATCCACAGCACTTGCACATACAACCTCACATGCATTTCAGCTTTGACACTGAACGCACATTAGTTTCAAAGTTAACTTAGGACATCCATGTCTTCATCCAGAAAAAGCTAAGGCATTTTTGTTCAATTTTCTTTTGTCCATCAGCTGCTCACTGGAGGCTCAGCATGTATTTTTCTGTTCACAAATTATGTCAGTTGAAACATACAAGCTTCAGAATAAAAGAGATGAAAATAAAGATGGCAAAACTAACATCCCGACCTTGAATTTAAGACATGAGTGAAACTTGATATATTCTTGACTCTGAACAAATTTCAGTGAACAGAAAACATTGTTTGTTTATCTGCTAAAATAACTTCTGTTTTTCTTTTCAAAGGATTCTTCCATCACCGTAGGTCACTCTGCCATACATGCAGCACTCTGTATGCTTTTATAGCAAAAAAACAAAGCTACGTAGATCTACATCTTCATACAAAATACTGGCTCCAGGATCCATTACTACTATTATTTTGTATGATTCAAACTAGAAGACAGGAAAAAAATGGTATCTCCTTTCTGAAATCTAAAGTCTAAATTCTGGCTGAGGTATAACCAGGTGATAAACTGAAAAGGCAAGAAAAAATGCAAGCTTACAGCAACACCTTTATAAGTCAGACAGTTAGGGGGAAAAAAAGGGCATTGTCACACTTACTTGAGATCAGTAAATAATAGAGGGCATAGAGCTTCTGAACCAAATCCTATCTAGGTAAGTCAGTGCAAAGATTCTTAATGACTAGAGTGGCTTTCTGGATGAGAACTAGTATTTTCATCTAATTTAAGCTGAGATCACAAACCATTTTAGTTCACATGTAAATTCTGTTAAAAACAGTGAACGTTGCATTTTGCAAATCCCCAGTGGACATCTTTGAATAGGTTACACTACACAGAAGGTGAGTTTCAGGAAGATATCTGAAGGGATAGAAGTAACTTTTCCTTGCAGAGTACTTCATTCATGTGAAATCCCTGAGCTGCTGAAGCCTGGCACTGCACAGGAGCCCTGGCCCTGTACCATCTCTCTGCCTGTCAGAAACAGGACATCAAGCTGGAGAGAGCTTTGACTAAAATAGCCTTTTTACTGCTTTGTACCTTTGCAAAATTTCCTCCCTCACCTCTACTCCTCTATGCTCCCATGAAGTGACCACACTCCCAGTTCCATAGATTTTCTTACCAATTTTTTTCATCTTAAATCCCTGTGAAATTATAATCAGGCTCCCAAGACCAGCCATATCTGACTACATCAAGTGAGTACCTTAGACATTTCTTTTATTAACCTGGTAGTGCAGTGCTCCGCATGCCTACTATTTTTCTAGAGCATCTTTCAGAAGCATTAGCAGAAGGTTACACAGTCCTCCTTGATTATCCCAGACCTTAAATTTATTATGCCCCTATCATGCACAGATATTAGAGTCAACTGCAGGTTTGTAATTGCTCTCAGTGGGAGAAGTTTCAAGCCCTTTATTTCCTCCTTACAGGGATATTGGGCCCGATCCAATTCAAGCCAAGCCCATACTGTTCTGTTCTCTAAAAACCCACATCCCTATTTTTATATTAATTCTAGGTACAAAATAACCATCTTTCTCTCTGGCCTTTGGCCATATAGATAACCCTCCTATTTTCCAGCAAATAAATATGTAGCAGAACATAATATTAATTAAAAGGCAGCAAACATTTGATGTAAGTATCAAATAAAAATAGGATGGCGTCAGTGAAGAAATAAATCCTGAATATGGTTCACCATATAGATAGCAGGGAAAATCAGAATGTAGCTGTGAGCCATTACAAACAACACACACGCTCCCTCCTCTGATGCAGATGCCATCATCCAGCTGTGTCACTGTCTGAATGCAGAGGTCGGATACTTGCCCAACATGAGCAGCTTCACTTACCCTCACATCCCCATTAGGTCCTGCCAACTGCTCAGAAGGTGAAGAGTCCGGGGAGCTTTGCTGTGGGCGCCCTGGACTTGGTGGTGTAACGAATAATACAAAATACTCACCTCTACACACATACATACAGCTCCTGTAGTTGTACTCCAGCAAGTTTGCATCTGGGTGTTTTCATAAAGAAAGATGCATTTGTTTTCCCCATCTGCGGTTCTCTGCGAAAACAAAATTCAATGTTTATTTTTTCCAAGCCACCTAAGCAATAGGTGAGGTTTTGTGGGAGAAAGCCAAAATAAATAATAATGGCTGTGGAGGGGGGCAGAAATCATGGATCTGCTGCCACTTTTGTTTAGGCTTGATGGAGCTTCCAGAAATCCGAACTTTAACAGTAGCTCAGAAGTGCAAATAGTCACCAAGTAAGCTCGGTTTTCACACATTGTGAGTCTACAAAAGCTACCTCTCCAAAAAGATGCCTTCATTACTCAAATCTTGCCACTAGGAATCCCACATGATAATTGCTTCCAAAGAGGAAAATCAGCAGAGTTCTTCACTGAACAGAAAGATGCACTACTAAGGTTTAGGATGTGATTATCATGGAAAAGATGGTTGATTTAGAATTAACCTGTGACAAGTGACTAGTACTTGATTTTCTTCATAATCTGCACTGCAAAGTCTACCACTCTTTCCAGTCCCTCAGTACTGAGTTTAAACAAGAAGAGGAATAAAATCAGCTTACCACATCTGCCAATCTCAGTGGCTGTTTTTTTCCCTACTGTTTACATGCTCTGTATTTCTCCTTTGCTACATTCTCAGCAGAAAGCAATGGAGGGTACTAACACCTAGATTTGGGGCCCATTCTATGTTTAGAAATCTTTCAGAGCTCAGGGCTTTTGGATAAGGAATTTTCATGTAATGATATCAGAAGATTTAGAATGTAAACATATGTTCATGTACCTGCTTTTTATACACCAACTAATCAAGCTGAGCTCGAATGATAAATATTAAAATGTCTAATTTGTATTGGTGAACTAAAATGCCTAACAGTCAAAAGCCCATTGTGTGATATACAGCACTACTGAGCAAAGCTAACACTGAATGGTGCCATAATTGTGTATTTTTAGAATCTAAAATGCTTTTATTTCATTGACATGTCATTTTAACATTATATTTCCTGTCATACTTGTTTTAGAGTCAATTTCAATACGTGTGTAACGTATAGTATGCTTGTGTTACCAGAACATGCCATCAATTTTAACTACATTTTAACTTTTTTTTTCCTATTTCAGGGTACAAATCAATGACCACTTCCTCTTAGCCTCTCTACTCTTCTCCACCACTAATTACTCTTAAGAACCCAAATATTGGTGTCAATATTCATAAGAACTACCATGCAGTGCTTTGATTTACATGTATTTAGACACACCTTATTTTTTACAGTTAAGGACTTCTACATTACTGCAGCTCTGAAATCTCAACAGTTTATATGCTGAACTGCCAGAGAGGCCTTGGGAAGCACAAAACCTCAACAGCGATGCTATGGCTTGACAGAAAGATTCAAACTGAGCACATTTGTTGTGAAAAAGTTTTCGGCGAGTCAAAGAGATTTTGTGAGACGCCAGTCCAGTATAGCATGACTATGGCAGAACTGTTAGGCCAGCTCAGTTTCCACAGTGCAATCATATTCCCAGTATATGCATGCAAAGCGTGACAATAAAGACCACTTAAGTTACAACTACAAAGCCTAGAATGCTCAGCAATCCAGGGAGCTTTCACTGTTTCCTATAACAACCTGATCACACTTTTAAAGATCTGTCATAATAAGGAAACAGTTGCAGCATCGATGTGCTTAAAACTTCGCTCCTGTGAGCAGACCATTTTACAAATTGCCAATTAGTCATGTTCATGTAGTTACTACTACAAATTTGCTGAAATAAATGAATAAAATAACAACAGCTTTGATTTTCTCATTTTTTAATCTTCTGCAACTTGATCCTTGGGAAATCGAGATTTTGAAAGCACTCGACATGCTGATTTAGAATATGGAACCTGGAATTTGCCCAAAATGATGATATCCTCATAAAAAGGCAGGCTGGTCAAATTTGTTAGTATGAAGCATAGACATCCAGGCTTTAAAGAGCCATGTGCTGTGAGAGTCTCACATTGACATGGCTTTAAAGGTCACATACGTACTCTGCCTCAGTCAAACCCCAAGGGATGCTGTGGCTAAGCACACAAGATGTTCAGATACTACAATTAGGTTTAAATGGGCATATGGCAGAAGAAATCTGTTCCCATAGGAGGAGGAAAAGGAGAAGTAATATCACAAGCAAAATTAAGAAAAATCAGAATGACAGCATATTACTAAACTAATAGAAGGGGGATACAAAAGGGAGGAGATTGAGTTGCAGGGAGACACTTGAAATTAAGAAGCCAATTGTAATAGCATGTTCAGCATTCATGCTGACCTTCAGATGAAGAAAAATGTCATTCCTTTCCATTTGTTTGGATTTGGGTACTTTTCACATTTATCTAGTGTTTTAAGTACAAGGCAGCTCATCTCAAAAACAAGCTTGGATTGAAAGCTTAATAAATGTGGGAGTTCACACAGGACAAAGAAGTAAATAAGTTAGTAAAGGAACAAGATTTTTTCCTCCTGTTCAATGAGAAGCTGTCCGCATCCACTGGCCTCCGGCTCTCTTAATCTCCCAGATACCACTGTCTCCATGTTCGAGGCCTCCCTTGTAGAGCAGAAGTTATTTTTGCTAACAAGTCTGAACCCAAATCTAAGACACTTCCTGGGTAGTCCTTTCCTTGGGCAAATAAGATACAAATCAATCATAGAAAGAAGGAAAAATTTGTGCAATAGTTTTTTCTTCTGCAATGTCTGCTCTCTAAAAGCACAGTTCCAAATGCAGAGAGGCTTGTTTGTCTTCCAGAATGTATTCTAGGATAGCTCTTATCTGTGCTCTATCAATAAAAGTACAAGCAGGAGGGCTGTGGCCTCCACAGGGAGTATCTGGCAGCCCTTGCCAGGACACAAGCCGGTGGAGTTGAGTATGGGATAGGAAAAGGAGAGTCCAAGAGAGGGTCTCAAGGGATAGGGGCAAAAGTGTCCTTCTGATAGCATCCCTGAGTTAGAGCTCCGACCCTGGATAGCAAAGCACAGTGCAGACTGAGGGTATTCATGCTGGGACTTGGAAGGACTGCACCTCGTCCTTCATCCCACCTTTCAAACTTTTGTGGTCCATTTGTTTGCTTTATTTTCCTTAACAGCATGTTCTAACAAGATTATTTTAATCAGAGTCGTATCTATATACAAACAACTTTGACTGCATCTTAATGAAGGGCTTCTTTTTTGTCGCTGTGTTTTTGTTTTTGTTTTTGTTTTTAGTCTGGCATTCTTAATTTATAGCTAAAATATCTAATCACCAAAGAAAATGTAAAGAAATCAACTAAATGTGAAATGACAAACAGCAATTCTAATTAGCAGAGGGACTGATAAAAGAATTTACATTTCCAAAGCTTGAGCCAGATACTTTTTCTTATTATGTTACCTGCTATTCATTTCATGCTATCAAAGCTCCTCTGCACAACAGAGAAGCATTTACAAATTTCACCTGAGAATCTTCCCCCAGATAAGCAGCACAGAGGAGGAAGAAGGAATGGGCAGCAAGAGGAGAAGAAACCGTGTAAGTTCCAATGAGAGCTTGATGGGAGAAAACTTGGAGATATTTTGCACGTTTGCATTTTCTCATGTGCAGCCTTTATCAGTGGGAGCACACTCACATACATCAGACACTTTTGTGCATGCTGTCTGTAGAGCAGGTAGAGAGTTGTGACGTTAACTACAGCTTCTCAGCCTCCTGTGAAACACTTTGCCTGCACATGGGCAAAACTATGCCAGGAGACATCCGATGACTGCTGCTTTCATTGACTTTGCTTCCACAAAGATGCAGCATCTACCACAACATCACTCTGCACACAGTGTGAGAAGCTGCACCCAGTTTTTATACAGGTTCTTGGTTACCAAGTGGGGATTCCAGAAGTGTGTGGACTGTTGTGCACAAAGCATCTGCACCCCTGCATCCACCTGACACAGAGTGGAAGCAATTAGCCCAATGCGATTTCCAACAAGATTGAATTTCAGGCTGAATGTTGAAGAAAATCACCTCTTTTCTACATAAAAATGGGAATTTAACTGATTTTAGATGGGAAACTACAGTCGTAATGGCAATACTCTGGCGCTTATCACAGTAAATGCCAGCCTCAAAACTCAGTTTTACAGCACATTTTAGCTTTGTCAGCCATAATGTTAGACAAAGTGAGGCAGGGATGTTTTCACATTTCAACTTTCCATTCTATTAGCCCAAAACCAACCCATTTCTTCTTAAAGGGAGCTTCCAAGCAGGAGAGCACTGACTTTTTGCATAATCTGATAGTGAAAGGACAAGAAAGAATGGTTTTAAACTAAAAGAGATTTAGTTTAGATGTTAGAAAGAAATTTTTTAGTCAGAAGGTGGTCCTGGCACAGCTGCCCAGAGAGCTATGGATGCCCCATCCCTGGAGGTGCTCAAGGCCAGGCTGGGTGGGGGCAGCCAGGGCACATAAGTAGGTTGGAATGAGGTGATCTTTAAGGTCCCGTCCAACCTAAGCCAGTCTATGATTCTATGATTTCTAATCTTTCGTAAGAAACCAAAAACACTCTATTAAAGAAAAAAAAAATAAGAGTAGAAGGCTGTTAGTTTTCATTGTGTTGTTTTGGTAGGAATTTCTCCTCTTCCTGCTGCTTCCCACCTCTCCTGGCTCCAGTTGGCTCTGGAGCAGCACCCACTAGGAGTGCCCACAGGGGCAGGAGGCATCGGAGCTAAATGCCCCCATCTCAGGCCTGTTGGGAGTGTCCCCTAAAAGCTTCACATCTGGCCAGGTGTAGCCTTGTACCCAGCACCTTCCTAATCTGGACATGCAGCAGGAAGGGCTGTGGGGCGAGCTGGTCTCTGATCCAGAAACCCAGAGCAATAATATTTTCTGCCCAGATAACCTTGTCCAATCCTGGGAACTCTCTTGACAAATATTATGTCGGTCAGCTAGATCAATAATACTATATACCACCAGCTGTGATGACACTACCAAAGAAAAGCACAGAACACATTTTATCCTCTTCAGTCCCCTTTGAATCTGAATTTTGATCCGTTTCATCTTTTCTTGTTTTCTTTGT